AATCTCATATCCTATGACCAGGTGACCTATCACCTGGACAAGGGAGAAGAGATTGATGTCATATATCTTGACTTCAAAAAAGCCTTCGATCTGGTATCCCATGATCTGGGATGATCTGACCAGAAACTGGCCAGTTGTGGCCTTGGGTCCACCACGATCCACTGGCTGGGAAACTGGCTCCGTGGTTGGACCCAGAGGGTAGTAATTGATGGAAGTCAATCATCATGGTGCCCTGTGACCAGCGGGGTCCCCCAAGGCTCTGTCCTTGGACCCATACTGTTCAACATCTTCATTAACGATGTGGACATTGGAGTCAGAAGCGGACTGGCCAAGTTCACCGATGACTCCAAACTCTGGGACAATGCATCCACACCCATCCTCCATACAGGAGGGTGATCCAGGCTGACCTGGACAGGCTCAGCAAAATGGGCAGGCGAGAACCTGATGATGTTTAACACTGAAATATGCAAGGTTCTCCACCTTGGGAAGAAAAACCTGCAGCATCCTCATAGGCTCGGCAGTGCTACACTGGTTAGCACTACAGAAGAAAGAGACTTGGGGGTCATCATTGACCACAAGATGAACATGAGCCTACAATGCAATGCTGCGGCTAGTAAACTGACCAAAATGCTGGCTTGCATCCATAAATGCTTCCCAAGCAAATCCCGGGACGTCATTCTCCCCTTATACTCGGCCTTGGTGAGGCCGCAGCTGGAGTACTGCATCCAGTTTTGGGCTCCACAATTCAAAAAGGATGTAGAGAAGCTTGAGAGAGTCCAGAGAAGAGCCATGCACATGATCAGAGGTCAGGAAAACAGACCTTACGACGACAGGCTGAGCTATGGGGCTCTTTAGCTTGGAAAAGCGCAGGCTCAGGAGTGATCTGATGGCCACCTATAAGTTTATCAGGGGTGACCACCAGTATCTGGGGGAGCGTTTGTTCACCAGAGCACCCCAAGGGATGACGAGGCTGAACGGTCATGAACTACTGCAGGACCATTTCAGGCTGGACATAAGGAAGAATTTCTTTACTGTCTGAGCCCCCAAGGTCTGGAACAGCCTGCCATCAGAGGTGGTTCAAGCACCTACATTGAACACCTTCAAGAGTAAATTGGATGCTTATCTTGTTGGAATCCTATGACCCCAGCTGATTTCCTGCCCTTCAGGCACGGGGCTGGACTCAATGATTTTCCGAGGTTCCTTCCAGCCGTAATATCTATGAAAACCTAGTAGAGTTGGAATAAGTGAACTGTGTATGAAGGCCATGTCTCTATAGGCCTGCCTTTGTAAGCATGCTGAGAATATCTTGAATCATCTGCAAAAGAGCTTCTAGTTTGACATTCTGAGAGAGGGACTTGTGGCTTGCCTTCCTGCGGTACAGGCTGGGTTGCTAGCTCCAGTATCCACTTCCTCTTATTGTGCTATCCCTTCCTATTATGTTTTGTTTTTCCTCTCTAAACTTCAGAAGAAGAGTTTTTTTCTGTATGTGATTATCATAAGATTGTTGTGGTGAATGTGGTGGTGGAAGGTTTCCCAAATGATCATCCTCCCTGCTCCTCTGCTTTCCTGGGTCTTAATCATAATTATAAGTGCGGCATAGTCTGTGCTTTTGGGTGCGTCTTCTGTCTTGTGGACGTTGACTCTAGAGGCCAACTTGCTTCTGAGTTCTCCAGCATCTTTCCCTGAGAATCACTGCTGTGCAATAGGCTGTTGATGGTGTTTACATTCTTTGCTTGAAGCCATATGCCGCTTGTACTATCTTGCAAAGTCTGTGCTGTCTTGGCAGCTGCATGTGACTGATGGCTGGACACTGTCCATGTACTATTGTTGTCATTCTCTTCTGACAACAGGTGCTTTCACTGTCTTGGTGTCTGTGGGACTGTGTACTCCTTTTATATGTCAACACCATTCATAGGCATGTGAATAGCTTCATTCTGATTCACAGCTGAGTCCACTGGCAGGAGTGGCAATTTGCATCTTCTGGAGCTTATTTTCTGCTGAGATAACCTTCACCCTAAAGCTTACGGTTCCCATTTACACTTCTATCTTGCACAGTAGAATTTTCCAGGACTCGCACAGCCTCATTTGGGTGTGATCCCAGAGTCTGTTTGCATGAAAGGACAGTGAATTGAGGTAGAGATCCAACTTATGGGCAGCCTTTGGATTTATGGGTGGGAAAACTGAGAAGTAGCTGGTCCAAATAGCTCCCCCCATATGCAACCTAGTGACAATCCATGTTTGAATGTGCATAGAGCTAGGCAGCAAGGGGCATGTTCTCATCTGGCAGATGGAACATATACTATTTGGGGATGTGAAACAGGGTATACTCACCTGTATAATTTGCTTGCTGGAAGTGATGCATGGCTTCTAAACTTTCTCAATATATATTTCAGTGCAACAGAATTGTGCCATTGTGAATCTGTAACTCTCCCAAGTCCCATGCAAATGTAACTAAAGGTTTATCTAACCACTCAGTTCACAAAAACTAAGACTGTCCCTAATTTACTTTTTTTTTTTTTTTAAATAAGGAATGCCTTTAACTGCTTGATTAATCTAGGGCTTACTCAAAAACGTCACAGACTACAGGCTCTGATATCTTTATGAAAAGGCTGGAAAACAAAATGACAAGCTTCCAGAAAGTTTACTTACATAAAGCTTCTGCATACCATGCCATATACATTTAACAGTATATACCACCACAGGACTGTCCAACTGGTAGCCTGTGGGCTACACCTAACCAGCGAGGGGTCATGTGTAACCTGCAGGTTCCCATCCAGCCACCACTCTCCCCATTGCTTTGACTGCTGCAGTGGCCAGAGTCTCAGTGGCATGGGAGCATGGTGGGAGGCCATGTGAGCTTGCTGCCTATGTAGTGGTGCCAGTGCAGGGGCTCAGGAAGGGTACTTACACTGCTTGTGTGGCAGTGATGAAGGAGGAGGGAATTACCCATGCAATGGGCTCACATGGCAACAGTAGGGGTGTGCTCACCAGCACCGTGGTAGTGGTGAGGGGTGGGAGTGCTGGAGAGCTCGTGTGGCCCCACACCATGCAGCTTGTACAGTGTGTGGCCTAGGGCCTGCAACCAGTGTAGTGTGTGGCCCTGGCTGCTGTGAAGTTGGACAGTCACATACTAGCATCTGCTTCTGAAAATAAAAGTAATTTGTTCAAAAAGAAATACAGAATGGTCAAAAGCAATTTTTATGTCTTCAGTGGGAGCAAGATTGGGCCCTTACTTGTAGCCCCACCATTGCTTTCCTAAATATTTGCACATTATGGTGCAAGTTTTACTCAAAAGTAATATTATCAAAAGATGTATCATCTGTTTTCAAGGAATCCCCAGGAAATCTGTACAATTTTCCCTGTCCTTTATATTCTCCAGAAAACACTTACCTCAGACAAATGATCTTCTGCACCAAATGAAATATCTGCCACAACCTGTTAAGAATATATTACAAGATACATATTACCCACAGTGTACAAACATTAGGTTTTTTAATGTAGTTGTGTAAAGGCACCATAGTACATAATAAAAAAGATTATAGTCTGAAGTAATAGGCTGTTTTGCTGCATTGATATAAAGAAACGCTTTAGACATCAACAAAGGAGACACTTGAAAGCTAATTTTCATGCTGCTTATAATGGAGTGGCAGTAGCCAGCCCGCAATTAAGTTTACATATGGGTTTTTGGGTTTGTTTGTTTTTTTGTTTTGTTTTTATAAACTTTAGTTTGGCCTACTCTGTACAGTCTACAAACAAAGAAATATCAACATTTAGGTCTAGGGCTCAGAGGGGTTTTTATCAACTTTATAATGCATGTAAAGGTACCATTTGAGCCACTTTGTTTAAAATAAAAACTGAAAGAGAAGAAACACTTAGATTTTTGGATTTACTTTTCAAGATATAGTACACTGAAACAACTGTTTCTTGATCAGGCTCTAATTAAAAATTAAGATTTTAGGCCTCAAATCTATAAGCAACTGTGACCCAAAACACTCTTATATCCGAGTAGGTTTTCACTACCATCTTACAGTGAAAACACAGCCTAGCCATATACATTCCTTCACAAAATTGGGGTTTGAAACAGTAATCTCAGAATGGTTTAAAAGGGTGGGTCAATATCACCTAGATTTCATGTGGAGAAAGATTAATTAATTATAGAGCTGAGTTAAAAAATGGAGGCTTAGCAATGAGGAAAAGGGAGAAATGTCACAAGAGCTTAATTTTATCAGACAAATGAGAAGTGGGAGTCTTTCCTGAAGAGATGAATAATAGGGGTGTACAAAGCAGGCCCTATTCGATTCAGATTTGGCCAGAATCAGAGACAGTGATTTGAGCAGTTGATTCAGATCATTATCCCTGATTTCATTCAGCTGAATTCGAATCTGAAGATTTGATGCCAATATGGAGAATCACGGATTCGGACACAGACACAGCTTTAAATGTTTTTTCTCCATACCTCCAGGTACCAGCATGGCTCGTGATCTTTGCAATGCTGGGGTAGATGGAGCATCCCACAGGAGTGCAGGTTGGGGAAGGGTCCTCCACGTGCCTGGTGGTGAACCCAGAAGTGGACCTGAAACACTTCCGGTCCATTTCTGGGTCCACCAGGGAGCACACAGGGGCCCCCACACCCTGGCTTGGCGATTGGCTGTGGGGGGACCCCAGGTGCTCCCCCCAGACCCAGGAGGCACCAGTCGCCAAGCTGGAGGGGCAGAAGTGCTTCTGGTCCACTTCTGGGTCTGCTGCTGAATGCACTGGGGAGCCCCCGCCCCACACCTGTGGGACAGTCCATGAGCCCCAGTATCACAGTACTCACAAGTTGCCTGCTACCTAGAGGTATGTAGAAAAAACATTAAAAGCTGTGTTTACGTCCAAATCGATTCAGAGGGTTCCAATTCAATTTGAAGAAATTAAACGGTCCTCTGATTTGATTTGGATTTGGAGATTCAGCCACCAAATTGGGCCGAATCTCCACCAAATTGAATCAGGGACCAATGCTTCACACAGCCCTAATGAATAAAGCTATGACCCCCTCCAAATTCAAATCCTTTCCCAAAACCCACCTCCACTGTGACACCAACAAGAAATCAGCCAATGGGTAAGCTAAGGGGAAACTGGGAGAGTCAGTATTAACATAATTATAAAATTATGTGCCACACGTATATGAACATGCTCTGTAGCCCTTAAGTGAACAGAGTTAAAAGGTGCTGCTCTAACAAAGCAACATGCTTAACATCACAGCCACATATGTAAGAGACTGTAAAAATCAATATCCTATAGTGCCTGGTTTCAGTAATGCACCAACAAAAAAGGGAATGTTGAGGTTTCTTGAAGGCCTAAAATTAATTCTGGATTTCCTAATCTTTCATCTTATTTATTTAGACTAAGTAGCACATTCTTGTAGGGATTAATCTTTATGAAATACAAAAGTCTCCATGGAAAAGCCAGTGTTTACTAACAGATGGCACAGTGGTGTCTGACACACCTTGAGTACACCTCAAACATCAGTGTGTAAAACAGTGGGGGCCATCCTATGATGACCCAACTGTTATATACTAGCCATCTACCCATTGCTGCAGAATCCTTCTGCAGCATGGATTAGGCTACAGACCACATCTTCAGATGCTGACCTTAACTGATGCTTAATCCTGACATTTAAAACAGAGACAAATTTAGTTTCCAGATAATTTTTGAAGCTCTACAAACACAATTTTTAATTAAAACTAAAATGAAAGTACAGTTTGTTTAGACCTCTAAAAGCTTTGTTCTTTACACCTGGCAAATTTCTCTCTTAGATTACAGCCATTTAATTTTCAGTAATGTGTTGCAGCCTGCTGACAGTGGTTTTACTGCTGGCTGCTTTCACTGAATTCTGAGACACTTGTATCTGTCATGACAGCAGTGACTTCTTTTTAATGAAAAACATCATGTTAAAATGAAACATTATCAATTCATCACTTACGGTATCAGTATTTTTAACCCAGCTGTAATTCTCTAGCACTTGTGAAAGTATGTGGAGAGGTTGTTTATAGAAGAGGGGTGAACTGGGTGCTTCTACACATGCATTAGCACACTTTTGTTAGTGTGCATTACATCTAGTACCTCTGTTGTGAGGTGCTAGGAAAATGCACATTAGCCTGTCTTAATACCCATCTTAGCCTGTCATTAACCGGACAGCATGCTTTTTAAGTGATGCTTAATGTGCACTAGCCTATTTTAACGCGCATTAACTAAAAAGCTCATTTTAAATGATGCTTTAATAAACGGATGCACATTAAAGCACATGTGTAGATGCGTGACCTTGATATCAAAAGAACCTGGAAGCCACTACTTTAACAACATCCTCTCTCCGTTTCAGTTACTAAGAAGAATGATGCATAATTTATCAGTGATTATGATGCAGTAACCACCAACATTACTGACTGACAAAAGGCATGGATTTGTTTTTTTTTGTTTTGTTTTGTTTTTTACCTTGGCACTTCAATCCCCTGACATCTCTTGCAATCTAGTAGGTGTTTCTTTGCTTCATAGGGAGTAAGAGGGAACACTGCACAGCATGCCAGACAGTAGCAGCAGAAGGAGAAAAAAAGGATAGGTCAGGGAATCAAGCCAGCAGGTTCATGAGTATTACGTTAATAGAAATACCTGGCCTTAAAACCTTCCTGATACAGGTAAGTCTAGATACCTATGACTGGCCATTGGCATCTCTGACATTATAAGAGGTTTTAGCTTAAAAAAGAAAATATCAATAAACAAAAGCCAAAGCAAGGACGTATGAGAAGAAATGAAACAAGCAAGAAATGAAGAGAAATGAAATGTTATTGTACATACATCTGGGTAAATTCTGGTATGTTTCAGAGATCACCCAAAAGCACACTTGAACACTATTCAAAATAAAGAAAGAAAGAAATCCATCACCTTCACCTACAACCAAGGGAAAGTTCACTGAGTCAGCTAGAACTGTAGAAATTTTTCAAAACAAAGCTAGGATCCATAGGATGTATTCACCTTGAATTCATAGGGATCCAAGTAGTATTAACCAAGTTGGGGTGTGGACAGACAAACAAATTATACTATGTTAAAAAAAGGGAACAGGGGGACTTACTGCAGATCAGCTGATACACAGTACATCTACTCATGCAACTAGTGTGAACAGATAAACTCTGGAGCTGTTTGAGCTGAAGTAAACTTCTCCTGTTGAAGCATCTACACCTGTACCTGGGACAACAGCAATCTGAGCCGGGACGGAGCAGGCCCAGGCTGGCAGCAGGCTTGAGGAATCAGCTCCATGCTGTAGCACCAGACAGAAGGACTAGCTGGGGCACAAGAATGCCAAAAGTGTGGCGATATATGGCTAGGAGACAGGCAAGAGTTTGTCTCTGTTGCCTGGGCTGACTGGGCTCAATTTATGGCCACAGTCACCATCCACACATGCATTTCATTGCAGTTAATTACTCCCTGACTACTATCTTATGGCAGAGTTAATTAATTTACCGTGCCTTAATATTGGCACATGTGTAGACAGTGACGCTTTACTAAGGAGCTAATTAGATTACTCCACAGTAAAATGTGTAGTAAATGCACCCAGGAAGTGCTTCACATATCCACTCTATCCTGCAGTAAATGGAAGGTAAACAATAGTTGCAATAAACATGCAAATATTTAATTCAGGGGTACGCTACTCCAGTTTAACTTCCACATACCAGGAGAACAAACATACAGTATAGTTACTACGGATTAGATGATATGCAGCAAGTTTCCCCATACTCTGCCTTTTAACACAAGACTTATTTATCTGTCCACACCCTTTGCCTGCAGGAACTTAATTCTACCAAGTTAGCTCTGATTCTAGGTAGCAGAACAACACATCAGCATATGAGAATCTATTTTCTTCCACTCGAAAGAGGACTTTGTTCTGATTCAGGCTGGTTAGTGTTGTTTCTGGCTTTGTCCCAGCAAGTTAAAAACAACTATGTTGTTCTGACTAGCTCGTGGTAGTTCCAGTAGGATGCTGTTTGTTTCTGGATGTTTCTGCAATTTCAGAATGATTTTTGGATGGTTCCACTGGATTTAAGTTCTAGCAAAAAACAATAAAGCTGTTTCTGCAAGCAGAGTTGTCAGAGTTTGTACATGTTTCACTAGGTCAGGAGCTGCAAGAGAAAGTTGGCTGATAGGGTTATTCTGAGACACCACTGAATCTTCAGCATAAGTAAACTACAAAGTAAAAGTTCTCACTGCCTTAAGAAATATAGTCAGAGGTGTAAGAGGGCAGCTCTACACCCAGGGCAGAGGCAGTGCATGGGGCAGCACCAACTGCTGTGCTACTGATGACAGTCACATAGCCAGCCACCAGCTATAACAGCAGCTATTGCTGCGTCCTCTCCAAAGGCAGCATCCAAAGCTACTGTCCCTGTTCCCTGCCCTGCCCTCCAGTAATGCTTCTGAACATAACACTGAGTTACAGATAATAAACTTGTAAAACTATCTGACCTTTCAAAGAATGCAAAGCCTGAACTCTCGGCATTAGGAACATGACATTGCGTGACCTACTGAGGATAGGCTTTATTTTTTTAAAAACAAAAATAAAAACTTGACTCCATTGTCAAGCAGGATCTGAATACATTATTTGCCCTTTCCCTTCATGTGTACCCCCTCTGCCTAACGATAGTTTTGTAAGGAAATCTGTGAGGAAAATTACTGCATGCAAGGAAATTGTATCTATAGTGCCCTGCAGTGAAACCAATACCCAATTTGCCATAAGTTTTGTCAGTGATTGGAAGATAAATGATTCACTTATAACATTTTGCTTTACAGTTCAATTGCCATGGTAAGTACAGCACTTCTATGTAAAGTGCATGTTTTATACACGTTACTATGACTCTCTTTGATACTAGTTTCTAATAATCCTGCAGACTCTAAACAAAGTCTCTTCCTTTGCAAAGGAATTAGAGGATATCTTTTCAAAGGATATGCGATTCCCCCATGGCCTAGAGCAGAGGCAAGACAGCCATCCTCATTGGACAGAGCTCAATCTTACCAAGAAATGCATTTTACACAAACCCTCAACCACCCTGTTAAAGGCCAATAAAACCATTTTGATAAATGCACATTCTCCCATTACGTGAATATCTTTAATCTCTATTTCTTGTTACATGATCATTATCTTGTGATTGATTATTAAAGGTTATTGCTAAGCTGTTCCAGAAGAAGGACCTTAAAATCCTTTCATTGGTCAAATTAGAGGCACTAAAAGCCACACAATAGTTTTTGCCATAAGCATGGAATTTTTTAAACAACTACAAAATTTCCACAACTAGGCACAGAGTTTGCATCCTAGAAAAGTGGTTCCAACTCTCTCAGATAAATGCTTTTATAGAGCAGAAGACTATTTTTTTGCCTTACTCTCTTTCTCTCTAAAATAAAAAACAAAACAGAAAATCACTGTGGCTAAGCTCGAAGAAAGTTCTAGTACATTTATTGAATATTCCAGCCCGTGATTCACTTCTGAGATGTGCTCCCTGCCTGACATTTCTGTTTAGAGGAGTTAATTGTTTTAAATGTCTAACTCAGTGGCTCCCCAGGTTTTGGGCCATGTGATCATTGGCCACCTTCAACATTTCCTGCAGACTGTCCCACACTTTAACATCAAACTTGGAATTAGTCTGAATTCTGCCGTTTCAGACTAGTTCTCCTAGAGTTCTGCTTAAGTCCCCTGGAGAGATTGTGCAAATCTTAACTTCGACCACAGGAAAAAATCAGTTACCATCAGACCCAAACCTCTACAGATGCTGCATTTTTGGAATGGGAGGCAAGCATTTATTACACAACAGGACTGCTAGCATTATCTTTGCAGATTCACAGAGAAAGCAGCAGATAAAAATAAAAACCACAGCTGGCCATTTAAGATAAAAATGCCCTCTGCGTGAAAACTAGTCTAGCTGTGTAAAATGTATCAAACAAAAGGCTGAAATTATCATTTATAGCCTGAACCAAAATAGAATTTTGCAAACCAGAAGGGTGGGTAAAGGCCTGGCTTTTGGTAAATCTCAGTCGGTACAAATGCACTATTAAGTATCAATTTTCTGCCTAGTGCAGAGTTCAATGGCTGTAAACATCATATACCATTAAGCATGCATATAATTTTTGTCAACACAATTCCAAGGTAATAAAAATGACAACAACTCATGGTAGGGGGAGTTTTGTCATACTGGCATGATTAGATGATAATGCTTTTTAACAGCTTGCTGATCCTTACAGTGCAGTTAAAAGATTACCAGACAGTTGTAAATATTTAAGCAAGACAAAAATTCCAAGCAAAACACAAAACTTAAAAGAGAATGTCAAGGCCTCTACACCTCACCATTTTTCCCTTTTAATATTTGATGTGAGCTGGAAGCCTGCCAGAGCCTGAGCTAGGGGAAGACTGACATTCCACTGGAATAAGGGACCCTGCTTCTCTTTTCCCTGAGGCTGATGTAAATCAGGTGTAAAAAGTCAACAGAGCGATGTCAGTGTGAAACTGATGTAAGTAAGAGCAGAAACAGCAGATGCTGTGTGTTAAACATATAAAGCATGATGGATGGCATGGGAATATTTTCTCAATAAAGTGTAGCTGTACAGTACGTATTTGTTACTGGAATTCTCTCTTTTTTTCCTAAACGGATTAATGGTGAAAGGAAAAGGAGGTTGAAAGTGTTTTCATACAGCAAGTAAGCCATTTTATTTGGACCTTTCTTGAGGCCAAATCCAAAATTCATATTAGCCTGCTCTGCTGACCCATAATCCAGTTGCACCCCCTGTCCTCTCCAAATGAAAAACAAGAGCAGCTCTTGAATGCAACCAGCAGGAAATTTCAGATACCTCTTTCAGCTCACAGGGTTTGGGGCATGGGGCAGTACCCCACTCTGTGCCTTTTGGGATGTGATTTTCTTTTCCTTTTTCAGGATCCAAGCAGCTATCAGCCACAGTCTCCATCTCATCTGCTTGGTTCTTGTCTTCCTCAGAAGCACAGCAACCAGCTTCTTTCAGCTGAAACCCTCGGATCAACAGCTGACAGGCCTCCAAGTCAGCTTCCCACACTCTCTGGAGCAGCTGGCTCCCACAGCTGAAATAAAAGCCAAAAGATAATAAAAACGCAGTTCAGGGAGAATATTTCCTATCACACAATTTTTGGGGGTTGGTGTTTGTTTCTGTTTTCCTACCTAACAAAAAAAGGGTAGTTCAATGTTTGCACAAAACCTCAGCACATCTTTAAATGGAAATGGGTTATTTCAAGCTGAGTAGTAGTAAAAGAACATCAAGACAAATCTTTCTGATAAGATGCTGTTGCTTACTGTAGCATGCACTGTAGGGATATTAGACCCCACCCTGATTTTACTTAATAGAAGTCTTGCCATTGCCTTCAGTGGGAGCAGGCTCACTTGATTTAGTCAGCTCCAGGGGCTGCATATCTGGAATCCCAAAAATAACTCATATTTTCCCCTCAAACTGCTCTAACCATTACTGACAATGGAAAAATTATTATTTACAGTAATAATAATTGAATCAAATTCTATTTTTTTTAAATTACTAGTGTAAATATTATTTTTACTAGAATTAAACTTTGACCTTACAGGCTTTTGCAGATTGAAGTTTATCTAATAAGGACTTTTTTCCCCTCTCTTCAGTCTCCTCCTATTTTCTTCTGTCTATTTTTCCCCATCTATCTTTATGATACTTTATTGTTCCCTTCAATCCAAGTGCAGAACAAACTGAAAACATGTTTATATTTAAAGATTCTTCACAACTTTGCAATACTGTATCTTCTTTCATTCAAAATTCTCTTACTTACTTTAAAGACCCATTATTGAAACTTTCCATGTACAGATCTTCAATTAAGTCAATGAGAATTGCATGCATACAGGGTTTCACAGGATTACACGCTAAATATTTAAACCTGACATTACCTTTGCAACATATGGATATATCTCAACCTCATTTTAAAGATGACAGACTTACTAAAGTGCAGTTGGATAGCGGCAGAGATGGAAATAAAACCCAGGAGTCTTGATTCCCCTTTAGGAACTTATAGAGAAGTGGTGTTCAACCTTTTTTCATTTGCAGAGCCCTAAAAAAATGTGAAGGGAGCTGCAGACCCCTTTGAATTGTAGATGTGGGTATTCACATACTTTTGATTAATCATAGTCACCTTTTGTGGACCCCTTAGACAGTGTGTGGATCCCCAGGGGTCTGCAGACCACAGTTCGAAAGCCACTGTTCTAGACAATTTGTGTTTTGAAACCTAACAATTTATGTATGTTCTTCAGGTTCATTTGTGATAGAATTAAATATAATTAAATACATTTTCTTTTATATAAATTAAATATAATTGAGCCATGTCAATTAATGTATGCTTATCCATAGACTGACCCCACATACCAGCCCCATGTCGGATCAGGGCATGGAGAGACCCCCATCTGCAGGATGCAGCCTGCAGACTAGCCCTGTTACATTCATCTGGCCTGCGGGACCAGAGGACTGCACTAAATAAATGCTGGTATATTTTACTGTACATGCTGTATATTTTACTGGGAGTGCACATGTGGAACAACAGGGATTTTGGAACTAAGATACTGGATTTGTATATCTGATTATTTAAAGTGGAATGTGGCATGTGGTCTTCAGATTGCTGCCTGAATCCCAATGGGTCCCAAGCAATGCTAATTAGAAGGGAAGAAATCTTCAACAGGTGCTATATTCAAATTCCATGTTCCATCCAGTCAGCAGTCTGCCTACCCAGCCAAAAAGCACATCCCTGCTTCTTTCGATGCTAGACTTGGCACTTGTCAATCATGGCATTATGACCACTGACTTCAAACTTCTAGTAATCAGTAGGGCTGTGCAAAGCTTCGACTTAATATTCAATTCGACAAATATTCAACCTTGAAAAGTGAAAATTGAGTCGAATAGCAGCTGGTCGAATACCTGTCAAATCGAATACCAGAAGTCGAATATTAACAGCGCAGGTCGAATATTTGACAAGGGTCGAATATTCGACTTGCCTATACTGGATTCCCTGGGCTGGCCAGTGACCTGTCAGCATTCTCTGAGGTCCCTTCCAATCCCAGTGCTCTGGGGGAGGGCCAGAGAAAATGCATAAAAGGCAGAAGTTTTTCAGCTCCCCTGCTTTCTGCCTTGGGGTCAGTTTCTGAGCTGCTGGTGTCCTCCAGCACCTCTGCATCAGATCATGACAGCTGGGCATGAAGACTTAGAGAGAGAGGTCAGCATCTAAGATGACTCCTGAGTGTCTGTTATGGGCTTGAGTAACTGGGAGCATGGTGGAGCTGTCCACAGTGACCAAGGAAGGAAGTAGAGGGGAGGGTTTTGAGGGGAAGGATTAAGAGCTGTTTTAGCTTTCAGGTCAATCGTGTCACTAGTCATCCATGACGAGATGTTGGAAAGACAAATCAAGATGTTAATTTTGACCAAGGCTGAAGTATAAAAGTAGATCTGTGAGCCCATCCTGTAGAGATTATAGTTGAATTTGTGTTTGTATATGAGATCACCAAGACACAAGTTGCAGGGAGAGAATAAAGGGGACAAGTGACAGAGCTCCATGGGACTACTATAGAAAGCAGGAGGGAGGGTCTCCTTTAAATCTTGGGTCATGCTTTATTACATACATAAGGGGAGTTCTACCCAATGAGGCTTCTTCATCTTCTGTAAAGTTTAAAGGCTGCTGCTTCCCTCAGTCTCCATGCAAGATTCTCGGCGATATCAATGGGAGTGGGTTCTTCAGCCAAATAGCGTTTGAAAGCTATTTACAAGGCTAGCTGCAAGTCTGAGAAAACAGGTTTCCTACTAAGAGCTTTGCAGACGTACACAAGTCACATTTAGCTCCAAATCGCTTTAGCCTAAATGAAAACATATACTCATGTAAGAACAGCCAAAATATGTATATGTATATATACATACATAAATATATACATACCCACATATACATATTATGTATAAAACCCAGACAAGGAAACAGCATTTCTTGTAAGATTTACCACAGCTTATCTCAGGGATGTCTTCCAAAGACTGAACTGTGAAGAAAAATGGTTCACGTTCCACGGTAGCCAAAACGCTGTGTGTTTGAAGATGATACTGTTCTTTATACTGACAGTGAGAATGACTCTCTGCAAGAAACCCAATCTTCAAAGCCAAGAAAGTGAGATTGAAAATGAAATCAAGCATAATAAAACTCAGATTTGAAAAATACATAAGCAAAAGCTTGCTGTAGCAGGAACATCAATTAGGTAAAAGAAAATATTTGAGGAGATCAAAACTAAGCTCCTGCTTCAGGAAAGCATATAAGCATATGGGTAACTTCAGGTGCATGCTTAAGTCTCAATTACATTATTGTGGGTCATTGTCTGCAGGCCCTATTCAGGCTTCCATATTCACTCTTTGCCCTAGAAAAAGTTCCAGTGACATTAATGGGAGTTTTCCCTGAGTATAAAAAGATAGTAAGGAGTAATGAAAAGGGTCCGACAGAACTAAAGCGAGAATGTAATTACAAAGAAGGATACAGACACTATTAACAGCAAAGTCTAGTGCACAATGCTAGTTTAGCTGCCAGCAGAGAGCTGGGAAATCACGATCACAGGGGCTAGAAAGGACCTCAAAGGTCACTTAATCCAATGGCCTGTCCAGATGAAGGGTTCATACAGATGGAGAATCAGGAGCGTTGGTTTCTATTCTTGGCTTAGCCACTGACTACCATGTAAACCGAGAAGAGTCACTTCATCTCTCTGCACCTTTGTTCCCACTCCCAGCATTTGTCTGTCTTCTCTGTTTGTGCTCCATACCTGGGGCAAAGATAGTCTCCTACTATTTGTCTACACACTGCCTGATTGCCCTCTTAAGGTAACCAACAGAACAGAATCAAGGAGGAAGTTGATGGAAAGAAAAATCAAGATTAATGCATATTTCACTGACATAGAGAGACCATATCTTTATTTAACCATCCTTTTAAAGAAGTTTTCCATGTTAATACCATAATGTTGTGGTTTAACAGCCATGGCTATATATGAACATCACATGCTCCTTCAGAAATGCATACTTATGCCCTACCGTATCACTCCAGTTCTCCAGTCTTTCTCTTGACCCTTCAGGATTCACTCTGCCATCCCGGACAAGTTTTCAATGCCTACACCTCTACCTTTTCTACTGTTCATCAAAACCACACACTGCACAGCCCCTCTTGTGACAGGTTTGCAGGCAGGATTGTCGACCCTCTATACAACCCTGATATAGTCACCAGCTATAAAGTCTCAATTTCACAATTCAATACCTAATAATATGACACTGTATGTCTCCTCTATGACCACCGTGAGAGGTGGAAATCTCATTAGCTCATTACATACAGGACTACACAGAAGTTCCTAAGGCATCATAGGCTTCTTTTTGCTGTTCCTTATTTCAAAATGTGTTAACAACCCTTGTTTGCTCTTCAGCGCCATAAATTCTGTCCCCATCCAAGTGCTTTACAATTTAAGCCATACAAGACACAAGCTGTTCAATTTTTTTATTCCAAGGACTGGCTGGATGAGTAGTGGCACGGGGCTGGTCCACATGCCACATCCCTCCACCACGCAGGATCCAACACTGTTAGATTCAGGGCCATCTCCTTTGATTAGCATATATGCATACTCACAACTGCTCAGTTCAGTTAATGGTTTAAGAGTATTATTGGATTTATTGCTGACACAATTCTCACATAGCAGCACCTGCAACTAATGCTTCCTACTATTGCCATTTTTTATGGTACTCTCTCTCTTTCTGGCAAATGATGACCTGGCCTCAGTTACTCACAGCCATTTAAAAGATTGCCAAAAGCTCCAAGACAAAGTATGTGGATGACAACCAAGTTCCTCTGGCACAACAGAAATTGCCACAAGAAAAATAAAACCTGTCTCTGTGGGAGCTGATCCAAGACTGAAGAATAAACTACCCTAGGTAATAAGGCCCATCACAGACCTCACTACCCTCTGCTCCAAGTACAAGGGCTCTGCTTTCTCAAGGACATAGCAGTGCCATACATATTTACTTAAAAAAAATAAAACTAAAAGCTACCAAACC